TTGCGTCGGTTAACCTTTCTTTAAGGCTTTTGAGTATGGTTTTGTTGGTAGACTCAGCTTGTCCATTCCCACTAGGGTGATAGGGAGTGGATAATATTCTTTTGATCTTATGGTCTTCGAGAAACTTACTTACTTTGCTGCCAATAAATTATTTTCCATTGTCGCACACAATCTCGGCCGGTATCCCGAATCGGCATACAATGTGGTCCCAGAAAAAATCAATGACTTCGTTTTCCCTGATTTTCTCATATGCCTGTGCTTCCACCCATTTAGAGAAATAGTTAGTCATAAATAAAATAAACTGAGCCTTACCGGGTGCCCGAGAGAGGGGGCCGACGATGTCCATCCCCCATTTCATGAAAGGCCATGGTGACAACCAATGCAGCGGCTCCCTAGGTCGATGGATCATCGAAGCATGCCTTTGGCATTCATCACATCTTCGAACGAACTCCTTTGCATCTTTTTCCATGTTGATCCAATAATAACCGGCTCTGATTATTTTTTGAACCAGTGATTCGGCGCCTAAATGATTTCCGCAAGTACCCTCGTGGATTTCCCTCGGAAGGTACTCAGTATCCCCTGGCCCTAGACATTTTGTAAGTGGACCATCGAATGTTCTTCTGAACAAGGTTTTGTCTTCGGCCAGGCTACATCGGGCTTCTTTTGTACGCAGGGCCCTCGATTCTTTTGGGTCCGAGGGAAAATTCCCGGTCCTGAGATACTCCACGTACTTGTTCCTCCAGTCCCAAGTTAGGCTTATCGAGTTGATCTCGGTGTGGCCTTCTTCCACCACTAATCTCATAAGCTGCACGACTTCTCCTGAATTGAACTCGTTATCTTCGACCGACGATCCCAAGTTAGCGAGGGCATCGACTTCGTTGTTTTGATCCCGAGGTACATGTTGCAAAGTCCATTCTTTGAAATGATGTAATGTCACCTATAACTTGTCTAAGTATCTCATCATTCGCTCTTCTTTAACCTTAAATGTTCCGTTAACTTGGTTTACCACAAGGAGGGAGTCGCACTTGGCTTAGATCACCTCTGCACCCAAGCTTTTGGCTAATTCAAGGCCTGCAATCATGGCCTCATATTCGGCCTCGTTGTTAGTCAATTTCACAGTCTTAATAAACTGTCTAATTATATTACCTGTTGATAGCTTTAGTACGATACAAAGTTCGGACCCTTTGGCGTTCGAGGCCCCGTCTGTAAAGAGGGTCCAGATTCCCGAAGATGTCCCTGAGTTAACCAATAACTCTCTTTCGACCTCATGTATCAGGGCCGGTGTAAAGTCGGCCACGAAGTCTGCCAATATTTGTGACTTAATGGCGGTCCGAGGTCGATATTCAATATCGTACCCACTTACTTCCATGACCCATTTGGCCAATCGGCCCGAGAGTTCGGGTTTATGTATAACGTTCCTTAACGGGTAAGTAGTTATGACACATATGGGGTGACATTAGAAGTATGGTTTTATCTTCCTCTAGGCACTTAGCAAAGAGAGCGCCAATCTTTCCAGGTAAGGGTATCTAGTTTCGGCTCACCCAAGGTCCGGCTAACATAATAAATCGAAAATTGCATACCTTGTTCTTCCCGGACTAGGACTCCACTTACCGCTATCTCCGATGTTGCCAAATACAAGTATAGTTATTCGTCTGCCCTTGGTGTGTGAAGTAGTGGCAGGCTCGATAAATACCGCTTAAGTTCTTCCAGGGCATGTTGGCATTCCGGGGTCCATGTGAAGTTGCTTTTCTTCTTCAACAACGAGAAAAATCGATGACTCTTATCGGAGGACCTCAAGATGAATCGCCCTAGGGCGTCAATACGCCCGATTAGCCTTTGCACGGCCTTCACGTTGTCCACTATCGTGATATCTTCGATAGCTTTGATCTTGTCGGGGTTGATCTCGATTTGGTCGTGTCGGAGTCATCGGGGATTATAAAAGATCGGAGAACCCCGTAATCATCGTCTTTGTAGGTCTTTTGCTTATCTGATTAGATCGTTACCGGAATCGGTAATTGCTATTTGGCCTCTAGGTCGGCACCAAAATTTGGTTCCTTCGGTGTTGTGAGCGTTGATATCAGAACCACTTCTTCGATGGCAAACATCTCTTTTGCGGCCGGTTGTGTCCCCGTAGATTGTCTTGGTCCCTCCTGGGACTGGAAATTTTAACACTTGGTAAAGAGTTGAGGGTACTGCCCTTATGTGGTAGATCCATAGCCTTCCGAGAAGCGCATTGTATCTCATGTCCCCCTCGATTACATAAAACTTGGCCTCTCGTACGATTCTGATGGTATTGACCAGTAATGTTATCTCCCATTTGGTGGCTTCACATGCCATGTTGAACCCCTTTAGGACTCGGACTGCTGGCACGATCCTGTCTTATAAACCGAGCTGTTCTACGACCTTCGATCGAATAATGTTGATCGAGTTACCTGGATCAATTAACACACGTTTGATTCTAGTTTTATTTACGAGTACAGATATTACTAGTGCATCATTGTAAGGTTGTATGATCCCTTTCGTGTCCTCGTCGCTGAAGGATAAGGCTCCTTCAGGTATGTAGTCTCGAGTTCGTTTCTCCCTGGTGACGGAGATTCTGATGCGTTTCAACATTGGCCCTTGTGGGATGTCGACTCCACCGATGATCATATTTATGACATGTTGAGTTTCAGTATCTTCTTGTCCTGTTTGTTTGTTAGAATCTTTGTTTCTAAAGTGGTTCTTGGCTCGGTCGCTCAAGAATTCTTGAAGGTGCCCATTGTTGAATAAAATGGCTACTTTTTCTCTCAAATATCGACAATCTTACGTTCTATGACCGTGAGTGCCATGATATTTGCACATCTGGTTAGGGTCCATTTGAGTTGGATCGGATTGTAAAGGTCGAGGCCATTTGGTATCACTGATGCGCCCGATAGCAAATACGATGGCGGCAGCATCGCTATAAAGCTGTATTCTGATAACCTCGATGCTTCTTTAGGCCCGATGGACTTGTCGAAGCCATTTTTGGTCATGAGTCCCCGATTGCTTTGACCTTGATCACTTCTCTTGTCGTTTCTTACGGGGTTCCGCCCCGACCCACTGCTCATTCGATCTCCATTATAGGGCTGATATCGATCCCCATTTGATCCCGGTTCATGATCGATGTCCCTCTTGGCTCTATCGAGAGTCATGGCAGGATATATAGACTTCGAAGGTGCCCCGAGTTGATCATCTTCGACTCTGATTTTTGATTGATACCGATTGTGTACATCGGTCCAAGTAATGCCAGGGTATTCTATCAGACTTTGCTTTAATTGTTGCGAAGCCACCGAGCTTCGAATATTGAGTCCCTGAGTGAAATCCTGAACAACCCAATCATGAGCGACCGGCGGCAGATCCATTCGTTCTATTTGAAAATGGGACACGAACTCCCTAAGCATCTCGTTCTCCTTCTGTTTGATTTAAAGGTCCGATTTCCTGGTTTCGACCTTGATGGTGCCGACATGTGCTTTTACGAAAGAGTCTTCAATATCGGGGGTGCTCCTGGGATTTGATCTACCGTGGAATTATAGGTTTCAACCTTTTTATCATTCGCTTCGATATTCTTTTCCCCTGACTCTATCCTCTTTGTCAACTCCTCGAGCTTTTTTATAATTTCGGGGTTAGTCCTCGACTCTTGTTCATTCGACCTTACCACGGTCGGTTCCGTTCTGTGGGTGACTTCTTGAGGCGGATTGGGTTCAACCCTGCTCGGTGCCTGGGTTTGGCTCTACGATTGATCTATTGCCACCTGTTGAGCTTGCAACGTTTCGAAGATCATGCGTAGGCTAATCCCGTCTTCTTCAATGTTTTGTGTGTTTCGAGCTGCAGATCATGCTCCACCAGACGCTATTTTCAGGGTCAGTACGCAAGTTCGCGTAGATGGCCACGTGTCAATTTACATCAATTGGATCCGCAATCTGAATTCCAATGACATCAGCGGGTGGCCCCGCATTAGCGGGCGCCATGTTGTTATTCTCACCTTGATGACCGGCCTCATTGTCGATATGTAGAGGTGCTAATAGAGAGTTTGTCATTTTTGGCCTGAAATCAAAGATACTTCAAAGAGAAAGTGTAAAGTAGTGTGTGTTATGAAGATTTGTATCAAATAACCACTATTATCCTTAGCCCCACGGTGGACGCCAAACTGTTTACCCCAAAAATCGGATAACAATTGAATTTATACGCAGTTTAAGAATATGTGATCTAATTTGATACAAAGCGGAAAATCAGATTTAGTATGGAAGAATAAGTAAAAAAATAAATGCAAACCATGTAGATTGAACAACTTAAGACTCGCAAGGTTAACTTTCTTCAAATTTAGATGTGATCTTATTAAAGCCAGAATAATATGAACAAAGCTTGAAAAAATAGTATCTTGTGCTTTTAAGTATGTTACAATGTACCTCATGAATAACTCAATTCCCTTTATATATCTAGGGAGATGAAGCCTTTAAGACATTATTTTATAAAAAATTATGCAGATCATTGACTCCCTTTTTGACCTAATCCCGTAATTTCTGCCATAATGATAGGTTAATGGCGAGAATCACGGATCCTTGTCGGATGAGTTGGCAAAGCTTTTCTTCGAGGCCGTTAGAAGTAGGGTCGGTCGTGCCCTCGATAAACTCGAGGGCAAATCTGATGATCTTATCCGAACTTCGATCCTCGATATCGAGCTTGGTTACATCTATAATTTCGATCTCTCACGTATGTGCCGAGTTTTGACCTATTGTTTCAGATGCTCGATCAAGCGTCGAGCTCGGTTCTACCCGTATACACCCCCAAAAATTCTTTTTTTTTCCTAGTTCACGAGCACTCTATTTCAGAAAGAAAAAGAAAAAATTATGTGTTCGGGAATTTAGGCCAGAGCTACACGAGTTGTTATTGGTCTCTCTATTTCATTTTATGTGATAGTAACTTTTTTATCTGTTTAAAACTTAAAAATAGTTTAGTATGAGAAAAAAGGCATAGATCTGAAAAGGTCTTTCAGCTCCAGTCTGGTCTGGGGCCTGGACACAAAAAGAAAAGGACCCCCAAACCTTCGGAGGGAAATCCAATAAAATTTCAAACTCAGGTCCCTTTTAGAAGCAAAATGAAAACAAAAGTAAAAGAGAGAACATAAACGTCGTGTGCATAGCTGACGAATATTTCCTCCATTCCAAACCCTTGGAGAGGATTTCTCTTCAATTTCCGAAATTTAGGGGTTGGAATTCGGAATATGTCGGAGAGTAGCAGCCGGAATGGCGGGCCGGACTTTCACCTCCCCGATGAAATACTTTCGGTCATTCCGACAGACCCGTATGACCAATTGGATGTAGCCCGGAAGATCACCTCTATGGCAATCGCTTCTCGTGTTACGAATCTGGAGTCTGATATGGGTAGGCTCCGTCAAAAGCTTCACGACAAGGATCGCGTGATCCTCGACCTCGAAGACAAGGTCTCTCAGCTCGAGCAGGCCTCTCACGCCGCCGAATTGCGATTGAACATCACTCTCCAAGATAATGTATTAAACAAAATCTATTCTTTTATTCCCCTAGCTTTTGCTTTTCATTTCTATTTAACCGGAATTAATATTTTTTGTTTTACTTTTCTGGAATAACAAAAGGTGAAACTTTCCAAAGAGAGGGATTCTCTGGCTTTGACTGCAAAGAAGCTTGCTCGCGACTTAGCAAAGGTTATATTTCTTTTGTTTCTTATTGAATTCTTCAAGTGTTATCTTATGCTTTTTGTTTATCTCTATTATGCTTTAGAAGAATCCTTTTACTTGATTTCAGCTAAAATTGTTATATTATACTTGCTAACTACTCCAAGCGACTGTGATAAGTGTTTCCCTAATAAGTCATACATAATACTCTTAATTGGAGCATGTTTGCTCTCTAATTTCTGCTTTGTAATTGCTTTTCTGCTTTATATGTTTTTTGCTTTGCTCCTGGTATTGCGGTAGTCTTCCTATCTTCCCTGTAAAGATTGAATAATGAATGTGGAAATTCTTGGGCACTATTTATCTGTTATTTCCATTGCAGCTGCATAAACTTACTTTTCTTTCTTTCAACAGTTGGAGACCTTTAAAAGGCAATTGGTGCAGTCTTTGAGTGATGATGACTCATCTGTAAGATTACATAATCTTCTAGTTTTGGGCATTTCTTTATATTATTGAGAGGGTAACAAGAATTTGCAATAAGAAATTTTGGGTATAACCTTTTTTTATAAGGTAAATAAAATTTTAAAATGTTTGGGCACAATAACGCTCGTATACTAGAAGTAAACCAAAAAGTAGGAATCCTACAAAAATTATTATGGGTATAATCTTTAAAATTCCTAAATAGGAATGAGTGTGATTTCCAATTGACATGTAGGACTGTACAAAAACTTGAGGCACAATCGTTTCCTTTCTAGAACACATGTTTCCCTTTAAGAATTATCCTCTCTTCTTTATTGACTATGGCGATCCTTTTTCTATCTTGGCAGCAAGCTGAAACTGTTGATATTGGCACTTACGATCAATCTGTTCACAGGTCATATCCTGTAATAGGTAACTTTAACATTGCCTTTATTAATCTGTCCTTGATTTTGTTTGCTTTTCATGTTCAAGATATTATCTGAGTTGCTTCTTCAAGCTCGGAGACCTGATGTTTTGAATTTGATCTTGATAATTTTATTTGCAGAGGAGGTGAATGGCTACACAATGCATCATTCTTTCAGTGGGTCAATGGATGGCAGAGGCAGTTACGATGATGGTAATTGACTCTATGTGTTTTTTACAAGATAATTTTAGAATGTAGCAAAAGTTGTTTAATTTCTATTCATATTTTTCTTTTTGTATCCAGCCTCAAAGCAAGCTGTGCAAAGATTTTCCATCCCTTACATAACACCACGGCTTACTCCAACTGACACACCAAAAACAACTTCTGCTAGTGTATCCCCCAGAAGATTTTCTGCTGCTGTATCTCCTCAGAGGACATCTGGCAGCAGCACTCCAACAAACCCTCAATTTCAAGGCCGAGGTTCAGTGTCATCATTCTATCCTTCGAGTCAACAGTCCTCAGCAGCTAACTCTCCTCCAAGAGCACGCGCAAAACCAGGTTCGTGAGCTCTGCTAATGTTACTGCATCAGCTATGCACTTCTGTCGTCACACATACAAGGGAACTTTTCTTTGCATGAGATGCAAACGTGTGTTGCAACCAATGTTTTTATTACATTCACAAGTTCACTTACATTTAAGAATGATTCTACACACATATGACAACATATTCGGCTGTCTTTTTATTTAGCTAATATCATATTCATTCGAATGGTACTGATTAGTGCATGTGTGAATTGTCAGCTCAAACTCCTCGAGTTGATGGGAAGGAGTTTTTCCGTCAAGCCAGGTATCTATTTTTCGTTTTTAACTTTTGTTCTGTTTGACTTTTTCGAGTAAAAGATCTTTCACCTGATGATCAGCATATTGTTGATTCAGGAGTCGTCTGTCTTATGAGCAGTTCAGTGCATTTCTAGCTAACATAAAGGAATTAAATGCTCAAAAGCAATCTCGCGAGGTGGATAATATAATCTTAGTTATGGTAGAATATCCTGTATTACCTTGTAGTTCTGTTCAATATCTAAATGCTTTTCTGCTTTTCCTTTTTGTCCATTATAATAATCCAGGAAACTTTGAAAAAAGCAGAAGAGATTTTTGGGACAGATAACAAAGATCTCTATCTATCATTCCAAGGGATGCTTAACCGCGGTGTTCGTTAAAAGTACGGAAAATCTGGGGTATATATGATTTCCCATATTATGGTAGCTCAAACATTTAACAGAGTCTTAGCTTAGTGGCTGTTGTTTTGCGTGTGTCTAAAGTTGACCGATGGGCATGTGGAACTCGTGGAGCTGTGCTCCAACTTTAGGTACAGATTGTCAATCATCAACTGAGAAATCTTTCGAGCTTTAAACCTTCTGGTAGTGCAAAGAATTCGGATTGTTGTAGATTATGCTAGACTATGAGTCATGCGGTCAATAATATGTAAATTGAAAGGTACTATTGATTTTTAGCATCCAGAACTAGCAGTCAAAACTCTGATGTTGTCGTTGTATCTACTCTAAGGGATCGTTTGGTACGCGGACTAAATTATCCCGGAATTATACCACATTTGATGGGATAAGGTGGGATAAGATGGGATATCCTGGATTAAGTCATCCTACATCTTATCCCACCTTATACCTCATACCAAACGACCCCTAAGAATTTAATTCAACACTGTCTGTTTGTAAGTATGTAATTGAATGGCAGGAATGTATGGTCATATCTCTGAACCTTGTATCGTACATTGGTATTTCTCAAATTTGTTTTTTCTCCGCTTGTTCTTCGGAATGAATATAGTAATACAATCCCAAGCGCAAGAGCTAGTGAATCTAAATAGTTTTTAAGTTCATATGTCCTGGGAATTGAGTATTCCTGGCTGGGATACAACTTGTATCAGATCTACTTTGTCATTACTATCTGGATTTTATTGGTGTTGAATGAAAAAGGTAGCATTTGCATGTGGACTGGTAAAGCAGTTGATCCTTACTTTTGACAAGATAGGCATGCCTTGATAATAGCGTGCAAAGAATTGGATACATGTACATCAAAGTTTGGACAAATCGACGAACCAAAGGATCTCAGATTCTCAAGATTGCTTAGCTAGGGAAAACAAAAGCTAGTGCTCTGTTAAACAAGAATACTGCTGTACGATATTTGTTGATCGTCTCCACCAAAAGAAAGGTGGCACTGTTTTAGGATCGCTGTTAAATCAATGGATTAAACTTTATTAAAGCAGAAAAAGTGACCCAAAATCTGCAGCTATCTTATACTGTCATTTAACAAGATTTCTTCTTTTTCTTGTTCAAAAAAAGAAACGAATAAAAACATGTATTCCATCAACAAGCAGTGAATTTTTCTACGAGATCAAAACTGACGAAATAGTAGCTGTAAAGAGAAAGGCTAGAAGGAACAAGAACTAGTCAAAGAGTCAAATCAAAAAGGATCAAATCCTTGTGCTTGATCGAATGGCACTTGTTTGTAGTACATGTATACATGATTAATGAATAGTAAAATGTTTACATCAGAATGGATTTACTTACAAAGCATATATATGGCTAGGCAATTTGGAGCATAAGTACTGGTCCCAACTTCCAACTTGTTCTTGAGAGTGTCTTCTTTTCCAAAGGATAGCAAGCCCTGAAATCCTAGCACCTGATACTTGGCGCTTTTCACTTTCGGTATCGGAATTTTTTCCTGCATGTCTTTTGCGGCAAATAGCCTGGTAATGAAAGATAATATTTTTCCTCTCTTGCCGTATTATTTTGTTTTCTCTTTTGCTAATTTTTGGTATTCGGAACAGATTCTTATATCCATTTTGATTCTTTTCTAAAATTACATACACGTGTTGTTGTTTCCACCTTTAACTATTGAGTATTACACTCTTACATTATGACAATTGTTTCCTTACGCTGGTAATCCACATCTAGTAACTTAAAATTTGGGATCCACTTCGTTTTAGGAGTGTTCATGTGCAGAGTTAGCAAAAAGAGATATACTTAATTATCCTAATTCAGAATCAGCCATGCTTGCATCAGGTTAGACTATATACCTTTTGGAGAGCGGTCCTTTCTGTATATGGTAAAATACGCTATGACACGTGGCCGTTCAAAAAAGGGATACGTGGAACCCAAGACGGGGATGACCAAAGACCGAAGGCAAATGTTTCGCTTATCACCGGAAAGAATAACACTCATAAAGAAGTGATAAATGCCCTTCGCCCGACAACATTTAATAAAGAATATTCCGTGGCATTAAGAGTGATTACCCGTTACAGAGAATTTGGCATTTATGTTCACCGTTACATTTTCATCAATGACTCTCATAATTGACATTAAAAAGGGGACGATCCTAAGACCTCCTTCCCTAGACATAGCTATAAATAGTGAGCTCAGTTATCATTATAAAGGACACGAATTTTCTGGCAAACTTACGCTACATTTTATACAAAGCTTGATACAATCTTTATCTTCTTGCTTTTTGATTTCGTTGTTATTGTGCCAGGAAATTCTGTTCTCGGAACTGTTGCTTCTGCTATTTCGTCTAAATCATAAGGCTAAGTATTGCATAATTCTTCGATTGTTCTATTATTTCACAATCAAATTAATTCACTTGTCTAGAAACCATGTATAAATTTAACTGTATTATTTTACGGGTAAACAGTCTGGCGCCCACCGTGTGGCCTAGACACCCGTGCAATTAAATTGATCCTTGCCTTTTTTACTAACGTATTTTGATTATTTTGTCTTAGAAAAAATCATAAGAAATGACAGATAACACTGTTAACAATACGCACAACCCCGAGATTCGAGGGGATCAGCCTCATTTCGAGGACTCAATCAGTGACACCTACAATGAGGGTAATGGCGCCACACCGGTGCATGACAGGCAATATCCTCGGCATGTTCGGGAGACAAATCCCGATGATGCTGACGAGGAACATGTCGTTGACGCGGTGCAAGAGCAATAAGTTATCATTCTAGGCCACCTCATGCGACATGATAAGGTTATGAAGGAGTTGAAGCAGGCGCTGTCGGGGGCTACGAATAATGCAAACTGACGAGATCCGATTCCTCCCTGGGGCCCCGGAAATCAAACAACGCAGAGGGTCGAAAATAACATTCCTAGGGGTGAAGATGGCTTCGATGGGGCAGGAGGGAGCGAATACGGCCTCAATAACGAGAATGATCCTTTCAAGAATGAACTTTTACGATTTATGATGGAAGTGAACACCCGCATGGACCACATCCCGGGCGCGCCACCAGTGCTGAAAAGTCCGGACTCAAAAATGTATACTCAATTGCCATATAAACCAAGTGCGAAACTAGAGTTAATCCCAAAGCGGTTCAAAATGCATGAAGTGCCAAAGTATGACAGAACTTCAGACTCCCAGGAGCATATTACCACTTACACAATGGCGGTGAAGGGAAATGATTTAGCTCCTCACGAAATTGAATCTGTATTGCTAAAGAAATTTGGACAAACCCTCATAAGGGGATCCTTGATGTGGTATTCGATGTTACCCAAGCATTCTATAGACTCCTTTGAAATGCTCGCGGACTCTTTCATCAAGGCTCATCCTAGAGCCACTTATCAACGGCTCGTGAATAGGATGTTTGAAAAACAAATAGGAAAAAATATGGAAGTTTATATAGACGATATGCTCGTTAAGTATTTAAATATAGCTGATCATCTTAAACATCTGCAAGAAACTTTCGACATCCTAAGGAAGCATAATATGAAACTTAATCCTGAGTAATGCGCGTTCGGGGTCAGCTCTGGTAAGTTTCTGGGATTTTTAGTATCGCAAAGGGGAATTGAGGTAAACCCCGATAAGATCAAGGCCATAGAAGACATCCCAGACCAACTATCACACGTGAAGGAAGTACAAAGGCTTATGGGAGATTGGTAACTTTGAGCAGGTTTATTTCCTGGTCATCAGAAAAGTGTCATCGTTTCTTCGCACTACTCAAAAAGGAAAATAATTTTAAATGGACCCCGAAGTTCTAATAGGATTTGAGGGATTTAAAGAAGTACTTGTCAAGCCCTCCGTTGCTTTCAAAACCAAAAGAAGGTGAAATGTTGCTAGTTTACCTCGCAGTCTTGGAAGTTGCGGTAGGTGCGGTTTTAGTCCGAGAGGACGAAGATACGCAATCTCCCATTTATTATGTTAGTAAAATTTTAACGGGAGCAGAAACTCGATACCCACATTTGGAGAAATTGGCCTTAGCTCTCGTAGTAGCCGCTCGGAAACCGAGGCCCTACTTTTAATGCCACCTGATAGTCGTGGTGACTATTTTCCCTTTGCGGAACATCCTTCACAAACCCGAGCTCTCGGGTAGATTGGCCAAATGGGCCGTCGAAATGAGTGAATTCGACATAGAATATAAAACCAAGGACTGCAATTAAGTCGCAAGTCTTGGCTGACATCGTGACCGATTTCAGTATGGGATTATTGCCTTTGGCAACCAAGGAGGCAGTAATGGTGTCGGAACCGACATCGGGGGTTGGAGCTTATTTACGGGCAAAGCTTCCAACGTAAAAGGATCCGGGCTCGGTATAGTCTTAATCACACCTTCGGGGGAAACCCTAAGGCTAGCCATCAGAACGGTCCTTTTAACTAACAATGAAGCAGAGTATGAAGCTTTGATTTCAGGGTTCGAATTGGCCTGGGAACTTGACTCCAAGGTCATCGAAATCAAATGCGACTCACAGTTGGTGGCAAATCAGGTATACGGGATCTTCGAAACCAAAGAGGAGCGCATGCAACAATAAACGGTGAAGGTTCAGGATCTATTGACGCGATTCCGGGAGTGGTCAGTTACTCATATCCCAAGGGAAGATAACACAGAAGCAGACACATTGGCAAACCTAGGATCGTCGATGAAAATAAAGGGATCAGAGTCTGGGACGGTAGTACAACTGATGAACTCAGCCCTGGATACAAATGATTACTATAAGGTAAATTTGACTAATTTGGTCTGGGACTGGAGAAATGAAATCATCGATTATCTCGAGCATGGGAAGCTACCTGAAGAACCCAAAGCATCCCGGGTGCTGCACACCAAAGCAGCGCGATATAGCTTCAAGAGAGGCCAATTGTATAGAAAATAATTTTAAGGCCCGCTGGCCCGATGCTTAGGGACATCCGAAGCTAACTATATCAAGAGAGAGGTTCACGAAGGGTTATGCGAAAACCACTCGGGCGCAGATTCCTTAGTGCTGAATTTGGTAAGGGCAGGATATTATTGGCCCCACATGGAACAAGGCGCCAAAGACTTCGTACGAAAATGTGATAAGTGCCAATGCTACGCACCTCTGGTGAATCAACCGGCAGATCCCTTACATTCGGTTATGTCTCCATGACCGTTCATGAAATGGGGGATGGCCAAAGATCGAAGGCAAGTATTTCGTTTATCACCGAAAAGAATAACGCTCATAAAGATGTGATAAATGCTCTTCGCCCGGCAGCACTTAATAAAGAATATTCTGTGGCATTGTGATTACCCGTTACAGGGAATTTGGTATTTATGTTCACGATTACATCTTCATCAATGATCCTCATAATTGACTTTAAAGAAGGGAACGATCCTAGGACCTTCTTTCCTAGACATAGCTATAAATAGTGAGCTCAGTTATCATTGTAAATGACATGAATTTTCTGGCAAACTTATGCTACATTCTATACAAATCTTGATACAATCTTATCTTCTTGATTTTTGATTTCGTTGTTATTGTGCCCAGAAATCCCGTTCCTGGAACTGTTGCTTCTGCTGTTT